AATGCTGAGGAGTCTGGGAATGGCTAATACGGTGATGATGGATTTTGGAAGGACAAAGGACAGACAAAAGTTCCTGGACAAAAGAAGCATCAGAGTAGCCCCTGTTCTAATCCCTTTAGATATGTAGCCTGCCCTAGAGATTGGAAGGCATGAGACTGAGAAGAGGCTGTAGAGTTTCTTGGACTTTTAAACTCCAGGGTTGGACCTGGTCTTCATGCCATGGTAGAAATCATGGACTTAATAAAAGAGCCAAAGCTTTTTCAGAAAAAAAATGGCAGTCTCTTCTCTGTCACTTTGGGACTTCTTAAGGAGCCAGGGCAACTGGGGGCAAGGGAGCAGGAGGGTCTTGGCATTGGTAACACCTTCTATAAAACCTCAATCTGGAAAAAGAAAAGGTACTACAAGCCACCTTCTCTACTCCTAGAGCACCTGGGGAAAAGTCTCTAAAATGTGGAACTTAACGACAACTGGGGCCCACTAAATAGGCTACCCATCCATTCAACCCAGCTGGGTGCTCGTCCCAGTCTTCCCAGTGGCCAGTCTTACCCTTCTAATTCCTCTTAAATGGTCTCTGCAGCTATCATCCACTCACACCACCTTTCTCAGCAGATATCTTGAACCCTACTTCAAAAACAATTTAGGCCACGACACTTGACCTTGCTCCTTCCCCTATAAACATACAAATATTGGCCTCCATCCTCCACTCCTTCCCCTCCAACTTCTGATAGGGCAATCAAACTCCTTTTCAAAATCAGTTCCTCCATCCCTCTCCTGGCCTCTCCTGGCCTCTCCATACCAGTTTGAACCATGCAGCCAAAACCTCCCCGCTAAGATGGTCTCATAGCCAAATCCACTGTGTAGTTTGTTTCTGCTCCTTCGTGATTGGATTTGATTACTGCTTTTTCTGGGTACTTTGCATTTCCTTGACTCCACATGATAGTATTTTGGTGATTCTCCTATTTCTACTTGGAGATTTCTGCTCTGTTGCTGCAAGATCCTGTCCCTAAGAATGCTGGTTAGGTCCCATTTTTCTTGTCACTTCATAAACTCTCCCTGGGAGGTATCAAGGTATCTCATGGTTTCACACACCATCTCCAGGCTGGTGAGTTCTGAATCTGTATTCCCAGCTTTTGCTACTCCCTTGAACTTCAGTTCCATCTACCTATTGACTACTGGACCTCTCACTGCAGCTGAGATGCTTGAGACACCTCAAACTCAGCAAGTGCAACTCTGAGCTCACTGAATCCCCCAAATCTCCTCCTCCTCATTGTATCATTGCTTTTAATCAAAGGCGCCACTGCTCTCCCAATCATCCAAGCTAGAAACTTGGCCTCTTCCTTTCCCAGCTCCTTTCTTTTTCCCTCTACCCCCATTTCCAATAATCCTTTCTTCTCCATCACCACCTCACCAATCCAAATTCAGCCCATCATTCCTTATGAAGGTAATTTTTTTCTTTTTGAGCAAGGGTCTTACTCTGTTGCCCAGGCTACAGGGCAGCTACGTGATCACCAGCTCACTGCAGCCTTCATCTCCTGCGCTCAAATAATCCTCCCACCTCAGCCTCCTGAGTAGCTGGGACTACAGCTGTGGGCCACCACATCTGGCTAACTTTTAAATTGTTTTGTAGAGACAGGGTCTTGCTGTTCCCCAGGCTGGTCTTAAACACTTGGGCTCAAATGATCTTCTTGCCTTGCCCTCCCATAGTGCCAGGATAACAGGCCTGAGCCTCTGCACCCTGTCCAGAGTGATTTTAATAGCTGCCTAATGGGTCTCTATGCTTTGATTTTTATTCTGTTTCTGTTTTCTCCCCTGCAGCCAGAGGTCAATGTAACATCGGTTGGCATTATCTCCCATTCCCAGCACCCTATGCTCCCTGGGATCTGACCCCTATTTACAGTTCCAACCTCACCCACAATTTCTCCACCACACATGGCATGCTCCAGGCAATCTGTGGTTGTCTGGCCTCTTCCTCATCTTCAAGGCTTTGCATTCGCTATTCCCTCAGCCTGCATCATTCTACACCCAACTTCCTCCTACGTTATCACTTCTTCCAGGAAGTCTTTCCTGACTCCACCGGTATACCTCTCCTTTGTCCCAGGCCTCAAGGGGCTAATTCCAATCACACTCACCTGCCAACTTATCTGTCTCCCTCTAAAAGCTGTTAAGAAATTTGTGGACAGAGGCCAGGTGTGGTGGTTCATGGCTGTAATGCCAACACTTTGGGAGGCACTTTGGAAGGCCAAGGCAGGCGGATCACTTGAGGTCAGGAGTTCAAGACCAGCCTGGGCAACATGGTGAAACCCCATCTCTACTAAAAAGGCAAAAATTTATCTAGGTGTGGTGGTGCATGCCTGTAGTCCCAGCTACTGGAGAGGCTAAGGCAGAAGAATCACTTGAACCCAGGAGGCAGAGGTTACAGTGAGCCTAGATCATGCCACTGTGTTCCAGCCTGGGCAACAGAGTGAGACTCTGTCTCCAAAAAAGAAGAAGGAAAAAAAAGATATTTGTGGACAAGGAGCCTGTCTCTGCAGTTCTATACAGTACTTAGTAAGTACTTCTTGAGTAAACACATGAACAAATTCATAACATGCATCCCCAGACCCTCTGCAGTGAGCAATTCTTCAAACTGAAGTCTGTCCAAGTGGAGGTAGTCAGTCTTAGAGGAAAGACACAAGATCCTACCTCAGGACCTTCACACCTGCTATTCTGATTGCCTGCAATGCTATTCTTCAGATATGCCCCTGGTTCACTCCTTTACTTCTTTTTATTTTATTTTTTTGAGGCGGAGTTTCACTCTTGTTACCCAGGCTGGAGTGCAATGGCGCCATCTCGGCTCACCGCAACCTCCGCCTCCTGGGTTCAGGCAATTCTCCTGCCTCAGCCTCCTGAGTAGCTGGGATTACAGGCACGCGCCACCATGCCCAGCTAATTTTTTGTATTTTTAGTAGAGACGGGATTTCACCATGTTGACCAGGATGGTCTTGATCTCTTGACCTCGTGATCTACCCGCCTCGGCCTCCCAATACAGGCATGAGCCACCGCGCCCGGCCCACTCCTTTACTTCTTTTAGCCTCTGCTCAGCAGAGAGGCTTTCTCTGATCTTTTACGTCCAATAACACCTACATTGCTCATTCCCCATCCTTGTTTTTTCTTCTCCGTCAGAAATTGTCACCATCTATCACATTGCATGTAGTTGTTTAAATGTATCTGTCTTTTAAATATAAGCTCTCTGACAGCAAGGGCTCTGTTTTGATTATTTGCTGTTTCCATGGTACATTTACATTGCCTGGCATTGAATTTATGCTCAAAATATCTGTTGAATACATTGAGCTGAATAATTGATAGAAAACAAGAAAGGCAACGAAAAAGAACTGAGGGACTGAAGGAGTAATTCTGATGTGCTTTTTTTCCCCTGCCAGGTCTTGTCTTCAGTCCTTGTCTTTATGTGGCTTTATTGATCTTGGCCCACATTTTTCCTTTATGTCCTGTTATGTCGGAGCGCAAGCACAGATGAATGTGTACACTGTCAGTCATGGCCTGACAGTGGACAGGGGCTGGGATCAGTCCACGGTCTTCCTCCACAACTCTTATGTCAAGGTTTTCCATGCGTGTCCGTGTGATAAGAGGCCCCTTGACTTAAGACACTGTCCTAGCAGCCCCCATTTGCTAATACACATGTGTGGCTTTCCCTGGGATCAAAGGGTTCTAATAATGTGCCAAGGAGGGCCTTGGTCTCTCCTGAAAAGCCACAGCTGCAGTCCAGGGAAGCAGCTGGTGGCAGAGCAGAGCGTTCCCATCAAAATTGGCTTTCTTTTATCCACGTGGCACAGAAGTCCAGAGACCCGAGGGGCATCTTGGTCTCCTATAACCAGCTGCCCCATCCTGAGGGACCTCTATACACACAAAGCATCCCCTACCAAGGGGGGGTCATGGATCTGTTCTCCACTCTTGGTGTGTCTCTGGAAGTTGGTCTTCCAGAGAATCTTCTGGATTGGGAGGGAGATGTCTAATGATTGAAGGGAGTCCTGAGGATATTCCAGGTACCTGACCATGACTTGCTTACGCCTTATTATCTCTAAGGACTGGGAGACTCCTGTAAGCAGGGACTTACTCCTCAGTGTTTAATTGTCTTACTAATTGGTGTTTCCCAGCACCTATCACAGTGCCTGGCAGATATGACATACTCAGATAAATGTTTCTGGAAAACTGAATGAACCTTCTGAGGCCATCACTATTGCCTCCATGATACAGAATCAGCAGGCCCTGGTATACTATCATTTATTGTTCTTTGCTTTTTTATGACAGAATCTTGCTCTGTCACTCAGGCTAGGGTGCATTGGCACAATCTCAGCTCACTGCAGCCTTGACCTCTCAGGGCCAAGAGATTCTCCCACCTCAGCCTCCCAAGTAGCTGGAACTACAGGCACGTGATACCATGCCCAGTGAATTTAAAATTTTTATTTGTAGAGGTAGGGTCTTGTTGCCCAGGCTGATCTCAAACTCTTTAATTTTAACACTTTGGAAAGCTGAGGCAGCGGTGAATGTCACCGCTGCCTCAGCCTTCCAAAGTGCTGGGATTAAAGGCACGAGCCGCTGTGCCTGGCCTATGGTCTCATTTCTGAAATGCCTGACCTACTTAGAATTAGTTGTTCAAGTTCTCTCTCTCCTACCTGATAGGAAACTCAGAGGGTGGGGGATGGGGTGGGGCAGGGATTGTGTCTGACTTGTTCACTGCTATGTCCCTGGCATCTAGCACATAGTGCCTAGCACATAGTAGATGCTCAGTAAATATGAATGAATGAATGGATGAAGCTCAGAGACATTGTGTATCCTCTCTAAGGTCACACAGCAGAACCCAGCCTTACCAAGCAGACTGTGAACTCCATGAGGACAGGGCATGGGGCTGTTTTTCCCACCATGGCATCCTTAGCACCACACAGATTTATTACATGGTAGAGTTCAGTAAATACTTGTTAAATGAATGGATGACTTCAAAGACAGAGATTAAAAATCATTATTTTGCCACATTCTCTTAGGAGACAGGGGCCTCAGGGTACACCATGACAAGTCCCATTTTGAAAGAAAGCAGCACTTAAAGACACAGGCTGTTTCTTGACAGCCAGGATGAAGGGGGAGAAAAGAAGACAGGCTGACCAAAGCATGAACTCCCTTTTCCGTGGCTGGAGCGCTGCCCTGTATCGTGCCCTCTGCCCAGCAGGAAGTGAGCTGGCAGCCATGGAGCATAGGGCTTTCTGCTGTCAGTCACTGAAATGTCAGGGTCAAGGTGGTGGAGAGAAGCAGAGACAGCCAGACTTTCAGGAGCCCTGAAAAGAAAACAGTTATAGGGCAACTGCTAGTACTGCTGTACTTTTGTGCAAATTAACATAAGCTGCCTCCTCTAGACTGACCAATCGGATGAGGACACCGTCTCTGGGCTGGTCTCCTAGAAAGAGGAAGCTTCTTCTTTATCTCTCCTGAAAAAGGTGGACCGGTTTGAAAAAGGTAGTCTTTCCTCTGGATCTAGGCTTGGTACCTTCACAACAGGGCACTGTTGTGCAGTGCACAACCTACTCAACCATCCTTAGAGACCCCTGGGGGATAGTAACAGAGGGCAAGCTTCTTAGGAATGCCGTGACTCTCCAGCTCTGAGCTCATCAGTACCGGGCTGGACTACTCAAATCAAATACCCCATTAGCCAGGCAGGGTGGCTCACACCTGTAATCCCAGCACTTTGGGAGGCCAAGGCAGGCGGATCACCTAAGGTCAGGAATTTGAGACCAGCCTGGCCACACGGAGAAACCCCATCTCTACTAGAAAATACAAAAATTAGCCAGGCATGGTGGTGCATGCCTGTAGTTCCAGCTACTCAAGAGGCTGAGACAGGAGACTTGCTTGAACCCAGGAGGCGGAGATTGCAGTGAGACAAGATTGTGCCACTGCACTCCAGCCTGGGCAACAGAGCAGACTCCATCTTAAAAAAAAAAGAAAGCCCACGTTAGTGTAACAACCTCTTTGGATCCAGGTACCAGTAGCTGTTGCATATATGTGCTTTTCACCTAGATCTTTAGATAATTCAGTAGCCATGAAAACCAAGGGCCATAAAAATGCCACCTGTCCCTGGCCTTTGTGGTCAGAAGAGCAAAGAAGCGGTGAAGTAGGGTTTCTTGTTTGACTGTTGTGTTCACCCCAGCCCTAAGCATGGTTCCTGGCACATGGTATTACTCAACGAATATTTGTCACCTCTTGAATGAATCTAGAAAAAGGTGTTAGAGCGGATCCCTGGAGCTTCAGGAAGTGCCCAAGATGCACATCTGGTGTTGTGCATACCCTTTGGGTACACACAAATATGCATACATACAACTGCTGCTTCCTGTGCATCTGTATGTGCAAACAGGAGTGAATGGATGTGACCTTGCGTGTGTGGGCAAACAGGTCTGGATGGCCTACATTCTTAGTGCTTATCTGGGCATCCCTGTGTCTGTGTGCACATAGGTACTATTGGGAGACAGCATAGGTGTGTGTACACATGTACAACCCTAGGATCAGGCATTCCAGGCATTTCCACAGTTACAGTTACCTCTTCAGAGCTCAAGCCCAGCCCTCCAGCACACTCTGGGGACCTCAGGGAGTCAGAAGAGCAAAGAAGCAGAGAAGTAGGGTTTCTTGTTTGCTGTGTTCACCCCAGAATTAAGCATGGTTCTTGGTACATAGTAGCACTCAAGGAATATTTCTCACCTATTGAATGAATCTAGAAAAAGGGGTTAGAGAAGAGCCTTGGAGCTTCAGGAAGTGCACAAGATACAGATCTGGAGTGTGTGCGTATTCTTTGGGTACGAGTCTATAGTAAGTGTGTGTGTAAAGTAAGTGATCTGTATGCCAGGGTACAATATATGCTCCTGTACCCAGTTTATTTAAAATGAAGTCCCAGCTCTAGCAATTAATAGACAGATGCAGAACCACTCACGTTCTGTGAGCCCCCTCCTCATTTAGAAAATGGAACTAGTAACACCTCCCTTATAGAGTTGCTGTGAAGCATTAAAAGTTAACGGAAGCCCCCTAGGAGAGTTCTGGAACAGGTCCTGCTGCAGAGGGGACCTGTTCTGTCCTTTGGTTCTCCTTTCATAATGCTCATGTACCCAGTTTATTTAAAATGAAGTGCACTGGAATAGGAAATGTCCCCCATCTCCCCTCCCACACCCTGCTGTGCCCCCTCCAAACCCACCTCGCTCTGAGTTCTCAGGCCCCCCTGCTTTGTCTCACCAGGACCCCTACTTTCACCTTGTTCCCTTCCACACCTCCAGTTAGTCCCTGTCTGGGTAAGGGTCTTCCCTTGAGCTCCATGTGGTGGAACCCAATGTTTACATTGTCTTCTCTCTCTGCCCCCACCCCATGCAGCGCTTTGAGGAAGTGGAAAAGAACTTCCTGTACCTGATTAAAAAAAAAAAAAAAAAAAAAAAAAAAAAGACTTACCCAAGCTGCTAAAAGCAGCCCTTGAGACTGTGGCCTGGACACCTTTGGAAGAAAACAGAAGGAACAGCGAAAAAGAATGCATGAGATTGGCAAGCAGCCTGGGAGAAATCCCTTCAATCTACTTTTCTCCTCACAGGCAGAGTGAGCTCTTCAAAACCCAAATCTGATCATGTTACTCCCCCACTTCAGACCCATCAGGGGCTCTCACTGCTTTCAGGAGAAAGGCCCCAAACCTTAGTAAGAACTGCAAGGCCCTGCACGCTCTGCAGTAGCTCATCCCACAACACTCCCTTCTTTCCAGCCTGCCTGTCCTTCTCTGAGTTCTTTTAACAGGCAGGGCTCCCTCCTACCATGGGCCCTTTGCCCAAGCTGTACTCTTGAAACCACCTTTGCTAAATTATACTGAGACAGTGAAAGAGAGCTAACCTAGCCGACTCCATCTTGGTTCTAACTTTTAAGCGTTCTTGTTCCTTCCTGGGTGTAGGCTGAACTAACTTTGGAAGGAATTTAATTTATAGTTTAAAACAGAGATGATAACAGCCCTTACCAAAAACAAGCCTCTTTCTTGCCTGGGGACTAGACTCCCTTTTTAGGATTAAGAAATTAGCTAGAAGATTAGAAATTATGGTTTAGGAGTCATAAAGCTGGAGGCTACAAGATTCTGACCCTTCCTAAACCGCTCCTAAGATCAGTGCTTGTAGACCCTGCACTTGATGGATCAACTGGCACCACCCAGATCCCACATGTCTACATGGGATTATTCAAATGACACCTTCTTCACTGATTCACAAGCTCTGTGTGAGCAGGGCCATCTACTTCTGCTCATCACAAGACTCCCAGACAGAGAGGAGGAACACATCTACTACAAATATGAATGTATGTATGTGACCTCACATGTGTGCAAACATATCTGGATCATCTACATTTCCACATGCCTGTCTGGCCACGCCTGTGTCCTGTGTCACATTCATCTACCAATCACGTTTGTGCAATGAATGGGTGGATGAATGGGAATAGTCAAAGGAAGGCAGCCTGTTTTCCACCTTGCCCCAGAGCATCCACTTGCTCCCAGTTCTTCAGAGCTCAGTAAGGTGACAAGGCGCCAGGCTCTATTATCCCTCTTCCTCTCCAGAGATTATTCCTAGCCAGGAATGTTGAGGAGCAAGTGGCTCTCTTACCTTTCCGTGTGATGGGACCCAAGTTCAGGACACGGGATTGATCTATGACACTCCCACTTCTGAATCTGGTCCCAGAGCAGGTCTACAGGGAGAGGGCAATAGAAAAACACCCTCCATGAGGGAGCCTGCATGTGTTTCTGCCATGTGGCGTGGACTGCACACCTCATAGGTGCCTCCCCCTGCCCCAGGAAGAAGTTTTTAGATCTGTATACAGGGGCACATGCATGTCCCAGCTCTGCCATTTGCTAGATAGATGCATGATCTCAGGCAAGCCATTCAAGTTCTCTGAGCTCCCCTCCTCATGAGGAAAGGGAACTAATAACACCTCCCTTATAGAGTTGCAGTGAAGCATTCAAAGTTAACACAAGTGAGGTGGACACAGTGCTTAAAAATGTCAGCTCTCATTATTTGAACACAAGCTTGCAGATAAGCCAGAGCGTTTGCCAGCCTGCTGCACTTCACTGATCGCACCTGATTTCCTGGTGGCCTAGGTTTCCTGCCTGGCCATGCCCACCTCATCTTACTGCTCATTCTACAGGGAAACAATGTTGATTTGTTTTCTTTGTGACCAATGTCTTTGGTTATAAGACATGGGCTGGGGGAGGGGAGGCGACTCACAGGCTTGCACTTTTCATTCATGGTGTCACAGAGATAGACTTCACAGTGCAGGTAGACTAGGTCGTAATTTCCAGCAAACCGGAACACCTGGACGGAAAATCGGCCCTGGGAGGACTCCCCGTTCTCCACCACTTGGATAGTTGAGTCTTTAGTGTGTGGGCATCTGGGAGGGTTACACATCATTTCATGTGGTTGGTTAAACAAAGACTCTGGAGCCAGACTTCCTGGGTTCAAATATTGCTCTGTCACCTTTTAGCTGTGTGACCTTGAAACAACTTACTTAATCTCTTTATGCCTTAATTTCTTCATCTGTACATAGGAAATAATTGCAGCCAGCCGGGTGTGGTGGCTCACACCTGTAATCACAGCACTTTGGGAGGCCAAGGCAGGCGGATCATGTGAGGAAATAATTGCAACCATGTTATAAGACAGCTGTACGGATCAGGTTGTTTTTTTTTTCCTGAACTGTGTGTAGTATGCCAAAGGTACTTTATATATTTGATACTAAAGTGAAACTGTCATCAGTGCAGAGCTGAAACTGTCCAAAAGTCAGCACTTCCTGATTTCCCAGGAATAACGTTAAAAAATTATTAGCTAGTATGTGCTATCTACATGTGCCTGGTATAATTATAACGATGGAAACCCCTGGGTACCAAGAGCCACCGATGAAATTGGCGTGTGTGCACCCATCTGTGCATATACACAATTGTGCCCAAACACAGTTACAAGGAGAAACCTGAAACGGAGCATGCAGAGACTCCTACGTGTGATGGGCTGAGTCAGGGATACCCGTGGGCATTCCGGGAAGGCAAACTGGGCACCCTATCTGCCATTCCGCACTATTTGCTCAAAGTTGATTTAGGAAGGAGGCTGAACACTGACTGCAAAACTGAGAAGGAACCTTCTGGGAATGTCTTTCACTCTTAGTTCTGTGTCTCCCATAATTCAGATCTGGCCCCAGAAGTGCAGACTCCACCTGGCAAGGGAAAAGCCCTGAGGTTGAGTGGACCCCGCTCCTGACAGGCAGACAGTATGGCCTGTGAGGGCTCCATGTGCTCAAGCCAAGCTGGACATCCATGTGTCCCCCTCCAGTCACTTTCACTATCTCCCCAACTTGTCTCCTCTTTTCATGCCTTCTGAGGTTTGGACATCTCTCCTAGACTGGTAGTTCTCACCCCAGCTCCCACATCCACCCACATGGAAACATATAGAGATACACCCTACATTCTTTCCTGCTTCTTTTAAAGAACTTTCCAAGTTTTCCACAATGTGCCTGCTGTACTTTCATTTTATTTTATCTTTAGATGGAGTCTTGCTCTGTCACCTAGACTGGAGTGCAGTGGTGCAATCTTGGCTCACTGCAACCTCTGCCTCCCAGTTCAAGCAATTATCTTGTCTCAGCCTCCTGAGTAGCTGGGATTACAGGCACATGCCACCACACTTAGCTAATTTTTGTATTTTTAGTAGAGACGGGGTTTCACCATTTTGGCCAGGCTGGTCTTGAACTCCTGACCTCGTGATATGCCTGCCTTGGCCTCCCTGGTGTACTTTTATACTCCTGAAAATCAAGTTTTAAAATCCCAGCATAGCAGGTATTATTTATCCTTGTTTATGTCTGAGAACAGGAAAACCCAGGGAGCTAAGCTGACCTGTTTCTTAAAACTAAGAAATGGCAAAGCCAAGATTTGAACCCAAATCTCTGTGATGCTCCAATCAAGGTCATGCCAACAGTTTCCAAATCACAGTTTTTTTCTTCTTTGTTGAGATACCACCTTCATGAGCATTTTCTCTTGTGTCACAACACTTGTATTATTATTTACTTACTATTTTTAAAAAATCTACTTTTTTTTTTTTTTTACTGAAATACATTTATTTTCTAGAAGAATCTTTAGGTCATGACCTCAAGATGGCAAGCAAGTATCACTTGCCATAAACAGAACAGGACCATACAATGAGGACAAGGTCAACAAAGGGGTCGGATTAAGTTTGAGTTAGACACTGTTCATTGCAAAACTCTCTAAAACAGACTTCTGCTTTATTTTTATTGCAAAGGGAGATTCCAGATAATGAAGAGGTGTGAATATCATATTGGCACCCCCCTGAAAATGTTCCCTTGATGTGACCAGGCAGACCCTGAGATAACCTAGTGCAAACAGACCACTGTCTCTCAGGAATGCTCTCTCTGACCATGCTATTAAAATTGCAAACGTCTCTCTTCTTCTCCTGCTTTATTTCTTCTATAACCTCTTTGTCATTAACGTACTATATATTTCACTTTCATTTAATTGTTGGTCCGCCTGCTTTAGAATATAAACTGTATGAGAGCAGAGGTTTTTCTTCCTTCTATTTACTGTGAAATCCACAGAGCCTGTCACACAGCAAGCTTCCAAAATATCTTTTCAACTTATGAATGAGAAAGTGAACTACCTTCTCATGGTCAGATTCACAGTCATCTTGTGCCTCTTGAGTAAAAGGTAGCACACTTGTGTCCTCCTAGTTTCAACTGGCCCTTGGCTAACCATGCCCATACCTTACTCCTCCCCCAGGTGCTGGGCGGCCTGCTGCCTTGGGCATGCCTTTCCATCAGGTTCCTTACCATTTTTTGAATTGCAAATCCTACTCAGCTCCCTACTGAAGCTTGTACATGCCCCCTCAAAAGTAGTATTTTCAAATGCACAAAATAAAAATATTTAAAAGATTATAAAGGAAACCAATGAAATTGAAGTGCCATTCTCAAAATATTAAAAACATTTGCTAGCTGGCTATGGTGGTGTGAGCTATGATCAAGTGACCGTATTCCAGCCTGAGTGACAGAGTGAGACCCTATCTCAAAAAAGCCAAACCAAATCAAACAAGCAAAAAAATAAGACATTTGAAATACAAAATGCATATCATTGTGTATATATATTATACATAAATATATATTTGCAAATACGTATGTATTTGATAATGCATTGAATAATAAGGGCTAGTGAAAATTCTAATGCTATAGTGCCTAAAAAGTATTGATGACCATAAATGGCTTCACAGGACCTGCTAATATTTCTGTAGTTTGTTGCCTGTATTTATAATGGATGGGAATGCTAAGTTTCAGCAAAAGGGTAATGAACATAAAGAGGCAATTTTCCGGCTGGTCATGGTTATTCATGTCTGTAATCTTAGCACTTTGGGAGACCAAGGCAGGTGGATCACAAGGTTAGGAGTTTAAGACCAGCCTGGCCAGTGTGGTGAAAACCTGTCCCTACTAAAAATACAAAAATTAGCTGGACGTGCAGTTGCAAGCCTGTAATCCCAGCTACTTGAGAGGCTGAAGCAGAAGAATTGCTTGAACCCAGGAGGTGGAGGTTGCAGTGAGCTGAGATCACTCCATTGCACTCCAGCCTGAGTGACAGAGCAAGACTCTGTCTAAAAAAAAAAGAAATGCAATTTTTCTCCATCCCAGTCCAAAGAACCCCCTGAATTCCCCCTATGGGTTCCCATGTAGGAGGCTTTGCCTTACCTGTCCTGGATGATGAAGTACTTGAGGGGGTCCGTGGCATTGCCACTGGGTGTGGCATAGCAGTTGGTCATGAGCAGTGCAAATCGGGACAGGTCTCCCCCATCCAACATGGTGCCCACATAGAGAAAAGCCTCAGTGGACAGCGTCACGGAGGAGCCTTGGTAGGGCTGCGTGTAGGAAGGGTTCTGGAAGAGGGCCATCCGCACAGTGAACATGCCTGTCCCACCCACTCTGATGTCCAGGACACTGCAGGGGAAGAAGGGTTGGTAAGAGGATCAGGCTGAGAACATTTGCTGATGGGCTACCTTTTCTGGTTTGCATTTCTGGGCAGTACCTTGCAGTTATGTGCATTTTTATCCAGCAATAAGACTGGAACCCACTAACTGCTGCTTTGCAAACTGCCATGAGTACACACAGGTCAACTTGGGATCTAGATAAAATGCAGGCTCTGATTCAGTCAGTTTGGGGTGGGGCTCAAGGGCCTGCATTTCTAACAAGCTACTGGATACTGCTGATGCTACTGGTCCAATCACATCTCAAGTAACACATCCAGTCCCTCACTTGCTACCCCTGTAGCCTTCGAGATGGGGGAAAAAAACAACAAATTATTGAAACACCTGGATTCCTTCTTTGGTCTCAATCTAGAACAGGTTAAAAGGGATTGAGCTATTATGAGTCCTACAACTTGCGTCCTGGTCTCCATCGTGATGTACCAACATCTACATCAGAAGATTGAGCTTTATAAATGAGTTATTTTTAACCACACTGAAAACAGCCACACTGATGTGAACTTCACTGGATGATCCCACAAAGGACTTTGTAAGGCTGATGCCTCATGAAATAAGGCACATGAGAAATACTCTGAAATGTGGAAGTCCATTTTATAGATGAGAACTGAGTTATCAGTGAAGACTGGGTTGAGATCTCTAACTCAAGGCAGAAACTCGAGGGATCAGGTGCTGTGGCTCATGCCTATAATCCCAATACTTTAGGAGGCCAAGGCAGGAGGATCACTTGAGGCCAGAAGTTTGAGACTAGCCTGGTCCACATAACAAGACGCTATCTCTACAAAAGTGTTTTTAAAAATAGCCCATGGTTGCGACATGTGTCTGTGGTCCCAGCTACTTGGGAGACAGGTGGGAGGATTGCTTAAGCCCAGGAATTCGAGGCTGCATTGAGCTACGATTGTGCCACTGCACTCCAGCCTGGGTGATAGAGTGAGGCCTGGGTTCTTAACAAAACAAAACAAAACCAAAAAACATAGAGATGTGAGCACACTTGTTGCTCCCCAGAGCCTACCAGGCTGAGGACAGGGCCACAGTGCCCCAGGACACTGCTTGGCTAGGTGAGGCTCCAGCCAACAGCCTGCAATGAGCACCCTTCTTCCTCCAAGTCAGCTGTGCACTGTCATCAGCACCTAGCATCCTTCCCTGAGTCTGGCTGGCCAAGAGAGTACAAAACCATGGGCAAGCTTCGAAGGGAAGCTCAACCAAGCTTCCAAGGTCAAGTGGAGGCTCTAGACCTGATGTCTGAATCCCAGCTCTATCATTTGTTAGACTTTGCAGCTTTTGAAAAATCACTCAAACTCCGCTGAGCCTCAATGTCCACATCAGTATAATGGGAACAATAATAATAATATCTTTATCTCCTAGGGCTGCTCTAAGAGTTTGAGGAGATGTTCCAGGAAGAACACTGGACACAATGCCTGAGATATAGTAAGCTCTCAATAAATCTCAGTTATTGGGTGGGTGCGGAGGCTCAAGCCTGTAATCCCAGCACTTTGGGAGGTCGAGGTGGGTGGATCGCCTGAAGTCAGGAGTTTGAGACCAGCCTGGCCAACATGGTGAAACCCCCTCTCTACTAAAAATACAAAAATTAACCAGATGTGGTGGTGAGTGCCTGTAATCCCAGCTACTTGGGAGGCTGAGACAGGATAATTGCTTGAAGCCAGGAGGCAGAGGTTGCAGTGAGCCGAGATTGCATCATTGCACTCCAGCCTGGGCAACAGAGCAGGACTCTCTGTCATAAATAAATAAACAATTAAATCTTAGCTCATATTACAATGATTATTTTTCCCATCATTGGCCTGTGATTCATCCTGTTTGAAGATTTTCAATTTTATTTAGTGACAGGTTCATTTAAAAAAAAAAACAATAAAATCTTATGTGGCACCCAGTATGAATGGTTTACCCCTACAGGCACTCTTCCAGGGCACCTCCCTTGGCCTCCAGCAAGACACTTGCAAAGATCATAATTTGTAAAACCCTGTTTAATCAAATTCCTTTCACTTACAGAGAAGGAAGGAAGCTGAGGTCCTTCCAAATGTGAAATACGATTTGCCCAGAGTCCCACAGCAGTCTGGAATGAGACCCTTCCTGCTCTCTAGCACAACCACCCTGCCCCTTTGAAAAGTGGAGACTCTAATATTTGATTCACATCTGAATCATCTGCATCACTTTGAGGGTTGAATCTGACTCACATCACAATCATATTTCAATGCAGCCTCAAATTCCTGGGCTCAAGCGAAACTCCCATATCATTTGATTCTTAGAGCACCGTTGTATTCTAAGAAAGGCAGTACAAGTATAGCTAAACCCATTTCACAGATAAAAATACTGACACCCAGAGAGGGGCTATCAACTTCCCACAGCCAGGCTCAATAACTCACTCAAGCTCATACAATTAGTTAGTGACAGAGGTAGGGCCTGAACCAGGCAGTGTTCTGACTGTGTCCCCCACTGTCCAGGGCGTAACCATCATTTATGAGAGTCTAGGTTTGAAACTGGGCTCCAGGATTCCTGGTTTTTTCACTGGCCAACACTATTTCCAGACCTCACTTCCAGCTCTCTGTAGGTGGCAGTTGACAGGGAAGCTCAAGGTTAAGGGGTTTTGGGGTAGAATCATCTAGTGGTCCCAGAAACTCTCTCTGGCCGCACCTGACCATTGGCTGCAGGGAGTTCTTCAGGCTGACTTTCATGTCCAGGGGGTAGGAGCATGCAAAGTTGATTTTGATGTTGCGGTCACGGATGATGATCTCATCTGCCAGGTAGAGGGTGTTGCTGTAAGTGGCATGGGTTTCATTCCTCTGTGTTGCAGGGAATGGGAGGTGGGGGTGAGAGAAAGGGCATGAAAATCTGAGTAGGACTTCAAAGCCAAATCTCCTGGTCTCTGGCTACTTGTGAGCTGCTCTCCTAGTCTCCTTGATAAAAAGCTGCCTGTGGCTGGGTGCGGTGGCTCATGCCTGTAATCCCAACACTTTGGGAGAGGCTCAGGTGGGTGGATTACATGAGGTCAGGAGTTAGAGACCAGCCTGGCCAATGTGGTGAAACCTCATCTCTGCTAAAATACAAAAAGTAGCTGGGTGTGGTGGTGGCTGCCTGTAGTCCCATCTACTCAGGAGGCTGAGACAGGAGAATCACTTGAACCCGGGAGGCAGAGGTTGCAGTGAGCTGAGATTGTACCACTGCATTCCAGCCTGGACGACAGAGGGATATTCCATCAAAAAGAAAAAAACCCAAAAAACCCCACAACAATAAAAAGCTGCCTGTACAGCCTGAACTATGAGCCAATTAATCATCTTTTCTTTATAAATAAAAAAAAAAGTTACAACAGCAATGACCATTCATGCACACATGTCATGTGCTAGACCCTGAGCTGAATACCTGCATTATTGCATTAGTCCCCTCACCACACCCAGCCAACATTAAATCTTTTCTCTCTTTCTTTCCTTCCTTCTGTCTTCCTTCCTTTCCTTTCTTGCTTTCTTTTCTTTCTTTCTTTCTTCCTTCCTTTCTTTCCTTTTCTTTCTTTTCTTCTTTCTTTTTCTTTATTTCTTTCTCCAGTAGTGAGAGAGGTGGGAGAGATAATGCTCAAACATTTACCTCTAAGTTTCATTTGAGGAGGCCTCTGTCAGTGAGGTCCTGGTTCTGTGTACATGAAGGAAACAGACCTTGCCTTCCAGGACCACTGGAGACAAATGGACCAGTTTCTGAACCAAATGCTGATGCCTACTGGCTGGGACAATCACTATTGTCAGCCCTACTTTTCCTATTTATAAAATGGAGAAGTATCACCATGGATTGCTCTCTTTATTTGAAGCTGACATTTACTGAGCACTTACTGTGTGCAGTCCTAATCACTTTAACACATTAATTCATTCAATACTCTCAACATGCCTACGGAGTAGGTGCTATTATTTCTCTACTTTACAGTTGATGAAACTGAGGCACAGCCAGGTTAAACAACCCCGAACCTCCTGTAACTAGGAGGTGATAGAGCGGAAGCTTAAACCAGGCAGTGCTCTGGTTCTGTGCCCCACTGGCCAAGACGTACCGTCAACACTGTCCCACAGGGGCCATCCTGGGCTGGGGTCATTATGGACATCCAGTCCCTGTTGTCTCTGTCACTGAAGCCTGAGCACCGGCTGTCACTCAGGTACATGAAGACCTTCTCAAAGCCCAGACTCTTCAGCTGGCACTTGCCCAGGGACACCTTCATGTCATTGGCCCCACATTCCAGCCTGTGCTCCAGGAGGGAAATATCTGAAACCGTCAGGTTGGGCAGGATTGAGGGCCTGTGTCTGCAGCTTCGGGGCTCACCATGTCCCCCCGGGCCAGGTCCAGCTGGCTGTGTTGACCACCACCTGCAGGTGCTCAGCATAGCCTCAAGCTGATCTCTCCCCTCCCAATGTGATGAGGACTCAAAATTGGACCCCTGATATCAATGTATACATCCATTGGCCAACCATTCAGTCCTGTGTTCCCCTAAGTGTGGGTTGTATACCAAATGCAGGAGGATTTTCAGGGGGTTTGATGTCCCAGCATTTTATAACAGTGAATACTAGTTTAAAATCCCCGGGTGGGCACTGTGGCTCATGCCTGTAATCCCAGCACTTTGGGAGGCTGAGGCAGGCAGATCACTAGAGGTCAGGAGTTTGAGACCAGCCTGGCCAACATAGTGAAACACTGTTTCTACTAAAAATACAAAATAAATAAATAAATAAATAAATATTAGCCAGGCCCAGTGGCAGGCACCTGTAATCCCAGCTACTTGGGGGCCTGAGGCAGGAGAATCGCTTGAATCCAGGAGGCAGAGGTTGCAGCGAGCTGAGATGGCGCCATTGCACTCCAGTCTGGGTGACAGAGGGAGACTTCGCAAGAAAAAATAAAAAGAAAGAAAATAAAGAAAAGAAGGGAAAAGAAAGAAAGAAACGAACGAACAAACTGCAATTGCTTTCTACCCTTTTTACATCAAGGAGACAGTATCAGCTTGCCACTAACGTCTTTAATGCCATATGCTCATACTCACTAACTTTCCTCTCTTTCTTTTTTTTTTTTAATTTTTTTGAGACAGAGTTTCGCTCTTGTTGCCCAGGCTGGAATGCAGTGGTGTGATAATGGCTCACTGCAACCTCGGCCTCCTGGATTCAAGTGATTCCCCAGCCTCAGCCTCCAGAGTTGCTGGAATTACAGGTGCTTGCCACCAGGCCTGGCTAATCTTTGTATTTTTACTAGAGATAGGGCTTTGCCATGTTGGTCGGGCTGACCAACTCCTGATCTCAGGTGATCTGCCCACCTTGGCCTCACAAAGTGCTGGGATTACAGGTGTGAGCCACAGTGTCCAGCCCACTACCTTCCCTCTCAAACAGAGCAGGCCTCAGGCTCAGAGTTTGGGGAAGGAAACAAGATCCAGCTAGAATTCAGTTTTAATTTTTTAAAAATTGAAGTATTTTTTAAAATTTTTAGTATTTTTTAAATTTTGTTTTATTGAAGTATTCCACAACTCCTGGAATTTAGTACCTTTTCTTTTCACTTTATTTTTATAGTTAACTTTCTGTCTAAGGTAAGCGTAACTTGCCACAGACAGATGAAGCCATGACCATCAACACCCCACATTTACTTAAGAGATTCAGTCCATTAGAAGAAAAACAATAATAAAAGTCATGGCACATGCAACACTTGGATAAAGCAAGTGAACCAGGGTTCCAATTGTAAAGTTGGCACCTGGATGTGACTAAAATCGTGACTGAAGTCTGGAAATACAACTTTCATCTTCAATAATTGCACCTATGAGAAATCTGAGGCTTGTGCCTGGCCCAGAATCCTGAGCTGATTGGTGGACTGTTCACCAGGTCTGAGCTGATTGGTGGACTGGTCACCAGGTCTGAGCTGATTGGTGGACTGGTCACCGGGCCTGAGCTGACTGGGGGACTGGTCACCAGGCCTGTGTTCTGGTGCTGCAGGAATAGGACTCAGATGGTCTTTGGCTCCCAGATGGCAGCAACGCGTGTGCCCAGAAAGAAGGGCCTCAGAAAGAAGGTTGGGTGCGAGGAGATCCCCAAAGCTCTGGGAGCTTTGAAGTCAACTAAAGAGAGACTCGGGTGCACCCAGAGAGCCTCTTGCCAGCTTTAATGTGTATTAGTGGATCTTCTATCTTCACTCAGGTTGAATATGTATTTCCTTCGTCATACCCAGATGACCCCAATCTCACAGGGGAGGAATGTGTCCCTCCCCCAGTCAATGACAGGTTTCTCAACAACCCGCTTCCTCCCCGGCCTCACCAGTGATGTTGAAGTCCTGTTTGCACTGGCAGTGCCATCTGCCGTTATCCGATTTGCAATCCTCGTCTATACTGCACTCCTCACACGTCCCCTCCACGGATCTGGGGTCTGCAGGGTCACAGGGACAGACAGACAATCAATAAGGAGGCGCCCCAGTCCCCTGTAGTGCCTATCCAGGTCTGGGACGATGGCTGCGGGGAAACACCGGGCTGACCTGTGCAGTAGGCCAGGTGACACTCGGGGGGCGCTGTCAGGTTGTAGACATAGTAGCCGCCGGCGCAGGCCTTCACCTGGACTGATGCATCCCACAGGCAGCAATGGTCGCTCCAGTGCGCGCAGGCCTTGCGGCTCACGATGCCTTCGTCGCTGGACGGATGGGTGCCATTGAGCCACATGGGGGCGGCCGTGTTGCAGCGCAGGACGGGCACGCAGGTCTCAGCCAGGCTCACGCCGCCCTGGCCCACGAAGCGGTACCAGCCGCGCAGGTCCGTGTCGCAGGTGTAGCCCGCCCCGTACTCGGTGCTACGCCAGTACTCGTCCAGGATTTGGTGTGCCTGACACGGATCTGCGCACACGAGCGCATCGCCCTCGGGCACGCAGTCCAGCCCCGGCCCGCAGGAGCCCGGGGAACACTCACAGTGCCACCCATCCCCCCAGTAGCCCGCGGGGCACAAGCAGGAGTAGTTGCCCACCACATTGACACACGTGGCCAGGGCGTGGCAGTGGCTAAGCCCAGGTTCTGTGCACTCATCCACGTCTGTGCAGCCCAGCCCGGGCGACAGGCGGAAGCCTTCGGGGCAGACGCAGGAGAAGGAGCCTGGCGAATTTACGCAGCTGCTGTTGGTCGAGCAGTTATGAGCCCCCGGAATGGCGCACTCATCCAGGTCCACGCAGGTCAGGCCGTCGCCAGTGAAGCCCTCCTGGCAGGTGCACGTCGTCACGGCCCCTTCCTCCAAGCAGATGGCATTGCTGTGACATTCGGAGCACCATCCTGTGGACAGAAGAGCCCAGCCTCAGAGTGTGGGCAGCTGGGCCCATGGTCACCCAGAGATCCTTCCCTCATTCTCCAAGGAACTCACATTATATTTAAGATTTATTCTCTAGGACTCCCTCCAAAACAAGAAAAGAAGGAAAAAACCAAACTCCCCTGATGATGTCAGGCTTCCACCATTCATTCTGTGTTTATTTCATTTTAATTTTTAACTTTATTATTTTTTGAGAGAGGGAGTCTAGTTCTGTCGCCCAGGCTGGAGTGCAGTGGTGCGATCATAGCTCATTGCAACCTCCAACTTTTGGCTCAAGCCTCCATTCCCCACCACCACCCCACCCTGCCACAGCTTCTGAAAAAGCTGGGACTACAGGCCCATGCCATCATGCCCAACTCCACCATTAATTTTTCTGTGGTAAGCATTGTTTTCAAGCTATCTTCTTATAAAATATCCACATTCCCACATTCGGAAAAGTAATGCTCAGAATTCCTGTACTTTGGTCGGATTTACAGTGAACCTGCTGCCCTCTCTGCCTTTGCACATTTTTTGCTCTCTGCCAGATCTGCTTCCCTGCCTGGTGAAACCTTCCTCAGGACCCGGCTCAGTGTTGCCTCCTCTCTGAGTAGTCCTCCAACTCCACCTGGCAGGGCAGTTGCACTTTGCTCCTCCATAATAAAAATAATCATTAAAAAATAAGCTGTTGTTTATTAAGCAGTCACGATATGCCAGGCAATAGGATGTGCACTTTTCATTCACTATCTTGTTGAATACTTCCCAATGGCCTCCTGAGGTCAGTTTTTGATTTACCCTTATTTTTAAAGATGAGAAAACTGAGGTTCAGAGGGGTTAAGCCCCTTGCTCCTTTGGTAAGAAGTAGAACCAGGGTACAAATGTAGATGGCAGGACCACAAAATATTTACTTTTAACTAGGACACCATATGTAATAGAGTATGTTTCTGACCTTCCAATAAAGGGCCAGCAGGTCTTAGAGATGTTCTAGCCCCTTGCTTTTCAATGTGTGCTAAGGACCCCACCATTAGCATCACGTGGAAACTTGTTAAAATTCAGCATTGGCCGGGCACAGTGGCTCATGCCTGGAATCCCAGCACTTTGGGAGGCCAAGGTGGGTGGATCACGAGGTCAGGAGATCAAGACCATCCCGGTCAACATGGTGAAACCCCGTCTCTACTAAAAATACAAAAAATTAGCTGGGCATGGTGGCATGTGCCTGTAGTCCCAGCTACTCAGGAGGCTGAGGCAGGAGAATCACTTGAAACCAGGAGGCTGAGGCAGGAGAATCACTTGAAACCAGGAGGCTGTGGCTGCAGTGAGCTGAGATTGTGCCGCTGCACTCCAGCCTGGGCAATGAGAAAAAAAAAAAAAATCAGCATCTTAGGTCCAACCAAAGATCTGCTGAACCAGAATCTGCATTTTAGCAAAATTTCCAAGTGAGTCCTGTGCATATTGAAGTCTAAGAAATTGTCGGCCGGGAGCGGTGGCTCAAGCCTGTAATCCCAGCACTTTGGGAGGTCGAGGTGGGTGGATCACGAGGTCAAGAGATCGAGGTCATCCTGGTCAACAAGGTGAAACCCCATATTTGTTAAAAATACAAAAAATTAGCTGGGCATGGTGGCGCGTGCCTGTAGTCCCAGCTACCCAGGAGAATTGACTGAACCCAGGAGGTGGAGGTTGTGGTGAGCCCAGATCGCGCCATTACACTCCAGCCTGGGTAGCAAGAGCGAAACTCTGTCTCAAAAAAAAAAAAAGTATAAAGACAATGCAAATTCCAAATGCTATAGGAACATTGACATTGCCTCTAAGAAGTGCTACACTACTCGTGCATGCACACACATACGACACACACACACTTCTCACTTACTTGCTTCTGAGTTGTCAGTGGCTGCAGCTGTGATGAACCAAGAGGCCACTACCACCATCAGCATCCAAGTCAGAGATGGCTGCCCCATCCTTTTGCTCTTCACAGCTACTTCTGGTCTAGAGAACACCTGCCCAAAGACAAGTCAGGTTGGCCCCTTGAGTTTTTCTCTCTGTCTCTGATGTCTGGTGTCCTGTGAATGGAGTTGGATGGGACAAATGCATGATCTAACTCTCCTCCCCACAGTTGGGAGGAGTGCTTTGATTGTAGGTTATACAACTCCAGGAGGTGTCACTTACATGGACTAAAAAATTGTACAACTCTGGAGCCCTTTTTTGCTGGGACTTTCCCCTTTGTACTCTCCCTCCCTACTTCACCAACATCCCAGTCTTGGCTCCCCAAGTCTCAGCACAGTGCACATTTCGAAGAACTGAGTCATTTGGAGCAGGAAATCGCAAGATGGAATAGTGTTCTGGACTCACCACTTTATTGAAGATAGCTTTAGATTTTAACTGATCCTCTGCCTGGATAAACTTTCAATTTGCCCACATCCACTTATTCATTCAACAAACATCTAATGAGTTTGTGCCAAACAGGGAGCCAGCCACCATGGAGAACAATGAACACAACGAAGTCTTGCAGCTCACATATTGTAAAGAAGTGACTTGAGACAAGCAACTCGAGACGTAATTCATCTTCACAACGTATTTTAATGTTTCTGGTGGAATCGCTTATTATTTCTTTCAATTGGCAAAATAGTCCAAGGTGGATGCCAGCATTACCCCAGTTTTTACAGCAGCAAAATAAGTGGCATGTTGGCTAAGTATGTAGAAGCTACAGCCTGCAACTGGGATTCAAATCCCGTTGTACTGATCAATAACACTGTGATGTTGGGCAAGATATTTCAGTTCCCCAAGTCTCTGTTTTTGCCTGTTACATGGAGATTGTTGCTTTCACAAAGTGAGTATCTATGATGGGCTAGGCTCAGTTCAAAGACATCCATGTGCTCAAAGACCCTGAGTCCTAGAGCAATATTTTCCAGATCTTTGTGACATTGATGTACTATAAGAAAAATATTTTATGTTGCTGGATGCGGTGACTCATGCTGTATAATCTGAGCACTTTTGGAGGCTGAGGTGAGTGGATCACCTGAGGTCGGGAGTTTGAGACCAGCCTGACCAACATGGAGAAACCCCATCTCTACTAAAAATACAAAATTAGCTGGGCATGGTGGCACATGCCTGCAATCCCAGCTACTCAGGAGGCTGAAGCAAGAGAATCACTTGAACCCAGGAGGCAGTGAGCCGAGATCACACCATTGCACTCCAACCTGGGCAACAAAAGTGAAACTCGGTCTCAACAAAAAGAAAAAGAAGGAAGGAAGGAAGGAAGGAAGGAAGGAAGGAAGGAAGGAAGGAAGGAAGGAAGGAAGGAAGGAAGGAGAAAGAAAGAAAGAAGAAAGAAAGAAAGAGACGTTTTATATCTTGATCTAGTGCAGTTACTTTGCATGCACACACACACACACCACACATAAAAGTTTTGTAAGACAATTCATATTCTTACTGTATTAAATCATTTAATTCTTACCACAGCCCTACGAGATAAGTACTATTATCCTAGTTTGCAGGTGAGAAAACAGACAAAAAGGCAAACGACTTCCCTCAAATGTGCATTGCTTACTGACACATGCTATTACACTTAATTAAAAGAAGTCTCAGGATATAACCCACAAATGGAACAATTTTATGAGCCACTAATGAGTTGCGACATACAACGCTGCATATTGTCCTGGGATTAGGTAGATGACAGATGTCAAGTAAGGCCCAGCACATAGCAAATGTTCTTGTTCATTGTTGTATTCCTGGCACCTGGCATGTAATAGGTGCATAACTAGTATTCATGGAATAAGTCAAAAAATAGTAGTCGTTGTTACTAGGATGGAGAGGATCAAAGTGAGGAAAACTGAATTGCCCAAGATCATGAAGACAATAATCAGCAGAATAATGACTCAAATCCAGGTCTGACCCCAGGTTCGAGGTCTTAATTTTCTCTCACCTCCTTCAAATAGCATGGAGAGAAGCTGGGCTAGGAGAAGACATCTACAGATAGCCTTACCTGAAGCCAGAAAGGTAGAGTTAGTCTGGTCACAAAAGTGAGCCTCATACTTATATATATATACACATTTGTCCCAGGCTGGCAGTCTCTCCTCCAATTATTCTCTAGTTCTGTTTTTTGATATTGTTTTCTAGGGGGTGGAATATTTTTACCTTCTGGCACAATGTTTGCCTTTTCCAAGCTGTGAGGTTGTTGTTGTTCTTTCTCCTAATAGCTAGAGACACCAAATGATTGACACGAGGGGTCACACATGGGCAGGGAAATACAAGGTCACTGTTTCTCACCTTCTCACAGCAAGAGATTCCTTAGTTAGAAATTAACTGGGAAAGCAGTGCCAAGGTGCTGGGCTTCTTCTTGGTCACTGACAAGGGCAGGGTGGGCCCAAGCATCCAGGCAGAAGCCAGTGTCTGAAGCCAGGCTGCATAAGGACCAAAGGGGTGTTCACTGCTCCTGGTGGGAGGTGCACCTGTCTTGGAGAGGGCACCCTTCTGAAATACCCATTCTCATGAGATCAGCCTTAGAATCCAGACCCAAGCAAAAGAGGAGCCAAGAATGGCTGAGAGTCAGAATTAGAAGACAGCTCAGCATCGCTGGACATGGCCCCCTCTGTGAAACAAAGAATCGTAGGCCTGATGACCGGGAGGTCCCTTTGCAGGCGAAACAACTTTGCAATAAAATAGACTGACCTTGGAGTCAGTCCGACTCCCATATCAGTTTATTGCATGCCAGTGGGCTCATTTCTTAACCTTCCTGAGGTCCAGAGGTCAATTTCGTTCTCTACAAAATGAGAATACCCATCCCCACAGCAGTAATAGTAGCCGAAGGAGATGATGCAAGTAAAGGCATGTAGTAATGAGTATATTCATGGAAACTCTGCAAATTCTGCTTTGCTGTTGTGCAATCACTGAGGTGTAGAATGACAGAGCCTGAGTGAAAACCATGTCTTCAGACCCAGTTCTACATACATAGCATTTTGAAAATCAGTGTACGAGTACTGTCATCATATTGAGAAAAATAAAATACGTGGGAACTTGGGCTGAGCAGGCAATATCACCATGATCACTGCATTGATCTTTTCAGGACATTTCCTCATTCTGTTCCACTCAGTGGTAGGGTAACCACTGACACTGGTGCAATTATCTCCTCACAATTATGTCCAAGGAGTGGAATTTCTGGGCCAAAGAGGTAGCACCACTGTAGGATTATTGACACCTCTTCCCAAAAAGCACCCCAGAGAGATGATTAAAAATTGGTTTACAATCCCACCAACAGCACTCACCAGTTCTGAGCATTGGCAACTTGCTTTCATCTTTGCCAAAAGGATAAGTCAAAAATATCTCAATGTTGTTCACTTTTGCAATTGTTTGATGAAAAGGGAAGTTATCATCTCTTCATTTATTTGCTGTTCTTTTTTTTTTTTCCGAACTAGGTGGTTTTTTTTTTTTGTTTGTTTGTTTGTTTGTTTTTTCAGACGGAGTTTCGCTCTTGTTACCCAGGCTGGAGTGCAATGGCACGATCTCGGCTCATCGCAACCCCCGCCTCCTGGGATCAGGCAATTCTCCTGCCTCAGCCTCCCGAGTAGCTGGGATTACAGGCACGCGCCACCATGCCCAGCTAAGTTTTTGTATTTTTAGTAGAGACGGGGTTTCACCATGTTGACCAGGATGGTCTCAATCTGTTGACCTTGTGATCCACCTGCCTCGGCCTCCCAAAGTGCTGGGATTACAGGTGTGAGCCACCGCGCCCAGCCTGAACTAGTCGTTTTTATCCTATGCCTTTTTCATGAGACCTTATCTAAACCCTAGTATGGGTATCTTCAAAGGATTAGAGATGGTGACCCCCGGTAGCTTCTGGAGTTGTCTTGACAAAGTCTTGGGCAGGAAAACAAGGAGTTTGGGTTGGAATTTATTCATAAGTGTAATCACCGTGCTTTCTAGTTTCCGTATTTGGTGTTTTACATCTTGGGGCCTTACTGATCATGGAGGGACTGCCCCTCTCAGGGCTCAATAATTACTAGAGATCAAAAATGACTTATTTGTGAATGTGTCTTTCTGACTGCAAATCAACCAATCCAGAACACATACCCCCAAACCTTGCCCTCCTTTGTGGGGCTTTCACACTGAGGGTCACTACTCACTGCTTTAAATCACCCCATGGGACCAGGTACCAGACAACTAGAGACAACTCCTATGGCCCAAAGGTCTCTGAAATTATTCAAACTAAGCAATCCTAAATCTGCTTACCCTGCCTCTCCCATTCCTTCCTGCAGAAACTACAATAAATACTCTTTCCTGCCTTTTCCCTGTTCTCTTTACCTCCTGACCGACCCTGGTACTTCCTGGAGGCTCTTCCTCTCCCTTCAGCCCCTCCACCAGCGTGGTGTGTCCCCTTCTCTTGGGATCTGTGACAAGTTGTCAATGGTCATAGTTTCCTGCCCTGTTGCTCATCAAGATCACCAAAGATATCCACGTACCACATTCAACCAAATTTCTCTTTATCTTACCTCTAGGACAGTGCACAATAAATATTTGTTTTTGAATGAAACTTAATCTCTCAGTACTTATGTCCTACTTGAAACACTTTTCCTTTTTCCTTCCTTCCTTTCTTTCCCTCTCTTCCTTCCCTCCCTCCCTCCTTTCCTTCCTTCTTTTCTTCTTTCTCTTTCTCTCTTTCTTTTCTTTCTCTCTCTCTCTCCCTCCCTTTCTTTCTCTTTCTTTCTTTCTTTCTTTCCTTCCCTCCTTCCTTTTTGGCAGAGTCTTGCTCTGTCTCCCAGGCTGGAGTCCAGTGGCTCAATCTTGGCTCACTGCAAGCTCCACCTCTCGAGTTCAAGTGATTCTCCTGCCTTAGCCTCCTGAGAAGCTGGGATTACAGGCACACACCACCACACCCAGCTAATTTCTATATTTTTAGTAGAGACTGAGTTTCACCACATTGGCCAGCTCGTCTTGAACTCCAGACCTCAAGTGATCTACCCACCTCAGCCTCCCAAAATGCTGGGGTTACAGGCATGAGTCACCACACTTAGCCTGAAATTCTTCTCTCTTAACTTTCAAACATGGGTAGCAGACTTGATCTTAATAATGCTGAGAACAATCACCTTCTGAGCACTTCTCTTGTGTCAGACACTGCTCAGTGCCTTTGTCTCCATTGTCTCAAAGAGTGAAACACAGCAACCCACATCACAGGGAAGAAGACAAGTTCAGAGAGGTGGAGTAACTCCTCCAAGATTGCACAGCTAGCTAGTGCTAAATCCACACTAAACCCCAAATCTCACTCTGATTTTCCTGCATTCCTTGGGTTAAAGAACATTCCATGCTCAGCCATGACAGGAGGGATAAGTGGTTTTAGGTAGTTTTGGAAAGAGTGAAACTAAGGGGTGGAAAGTTTTGAAAAAACGATCAAACAAAACACAAAGAATTAGAATGAGAGGTTAGTGTGTGTCAGAAAGGGGCAAAAATGAGCCAAGAGAGCAGAACCCCCAACAGAGGGGTATCACCTGTCCCACCTACCTCTCTGAGCACACACCTCCTGAGGCTCCAGTTACGCCCGGGGAACCTGCAGGTGGCACAC